CAGCCGGCGCTGGAGCCGGGGGCACTCCCGCCCTCCCGCAGGAGCCGCCGCGGGCTCCGCGCTCGCCCTTCTCCTCCCGCGGCGGTGGGGCGGCCCCGGGGGCGCCGTAGCCCCTCGGCGGCGGGGTCCCCCCGGGCTGCCGGGCCGCCACCATGTCGAAAGTGGCGGCGGAAAGTTGCGGGGCGGCGCCGGCCGAGGACTTGTCCAAGGTGTCGGACGAGGAGCTGCTCAAGTGGAGCAAGGAGGAGCTGATCCGCAGCCTCCGCCGCGCCGAGGCGGAGAAGATGAGCGCGATGCTGGACCACAGCAACCTCATCCGAGAGGTGAACCGCCGCCTCCAGCTCCACCTCGGCGAGATCCGCGGCTTGAAGGTAGCGGGGTGGGCAGGGTGGGACCCCTGAAGTTTCTGCCGTGTCTCCGCGTCCCCCGCCCGCCCCGCCGGCAGCGATCTCATCAGGTGTATGGTCCGGGAGGAGCCGTGACCGAGAACCTCATGAGGAGTGAACAAGCACTGGAGTGAATAGCGTTTGATACCGCTTAAAAATCGAGTGTCCGGTTAAGAGATGACCAACTATTTGGCGGGCTGTGAGGCACAGCTGTTGTACGCTCTGCCCCAGTATGCTTTGGGTTGATGAAAACACTTAGGTGTTGTCACTTTGGTGTTAGACTTCATTGGTTTTTAGTAAGGTTAAATGATCTTGTCTGAAGTGCACCTGTAAGAATAGTGTGTAGAGCTGTAGACATTCAAACGGCTTTGTGTAGCTTATGCTGATTTCTGTCACTATTTTAAGATGATTTGCTTCTCTGTCAGGCAGTCTGGTAGGCTGCTGGATAGAGCTGGTCGTTCCAGGATGCAGTGCAGTGTATGGCAGGCGATGGCAGACCCTTGGGCTCAGTTTCACATTCATGATTGATCAGGTTCATGATCAGAACCCTAGTTTATTGTCTGAAAGAAATATCTGATAACACATCTCTGATCAAACCATTTCTGATTGTATGCTTCTGTAGACTAACTACAGGGAGAGGCAGACCAAGTCTGTAATGACTTAGCCCTTCTTGAGTTAACTCTTTTTTTGGATGAGAAGTGAAGTCCCTGTTTCCTTCCCAGTTCTGAGGACTGGGAAGATAGTGTGACTGCTGACAGATAATTACCCTGATGTAACATCTACATGTGTATTATAGACCTAGAAGGTTATCTTAAAGTAGGCATAAATACAAAACGTTTTCTGTCCTGTGGCTTTGGGAAAGGACATCGGTTTTTTTTTTTTAGGAAATTCCTTCAGTGAGGTAATGTTGGAGGGAAGGAGAGGAGAGACAGACACAGTGTGGGGTTTTGAATTGTTATGTGAGAGTACATTAGAAGAGAGTTCTTGACTTGTAGAATGGCTTTAAACAGCTGAATTATTGTGAAAGTGTCTTTGATAATAGTGTGGCATAGAATAAATAACTCATGGGGGAGGTCTGTTCCTGTCTCCCAAGTTCTTCTGTTCTGCAGATTATGACTGTGTGTGTCCCCCATCCATTTTTTTGACAATATATGGTGTCTTGGGAGTACTGTCATTGATGATAGTACTTTAGTAAAAATAAAGCTTACATTTAAAATACAAGTTAAATGACAAGATTTTAAATGTAAGTTAAGAAACAACAATAGTCTCTCAATAGTCTCTCTCCCCCAGTTATGTGCAAAGGTGATGTGACATCATGGGGATTTATGCATCTTCTAGATAAGTAACAAAACACACTAAGATGTGTAGGAAGGAGTGACAAATTCCTCTCTCAATTTTGAAATTCTTAAGTGATGTTTAACTTCCGCCTTTTGTTCAGATGCGTCAGCTGGAACTTCTAAAAGAAATTTGGAAGGATGAGGTTTTGAGTCCTTTGTGGTATCTGAACATCTACCTCCTTTGTCCTGTGAGAAATAACTGGTCCATGAGTAACAATGACCAGCCGTGCCTGGTTTTGGTGGATGGGTGCCTACTGCTTCTGATTGATGAGTTGTGGCCTTCCACAACTTGTTTTATTCCACCATGGGGTCACTTCAAATATTTCTCACCAGCACAGATTTTTACCTTGTAGGCTTATTGAGATTTATCTTTTGTCAGACATGGGTTGAAATTGGTCAAGTTCAAAGTTAATTTGATTGAATTGGTTGAATTGGTTGAAATTGGTCAAGTTCAAAGTTAATTTGAGACAAAGATCAAAAGCATGCATGCACACAAATCTAATGGAGTTACAAAAGCTTCTCTTAAGAAACAGTGATAAAATGGCCTTTTCATAAGGCTAAATTTTTAAGAATTATGGCTAATCTCTACTTCTATCATCATATGTAAGAAGGAATGAATATTTAGATGGGAGAAAGGTAAATATGGTCACAAGTCAGTTCAGTAAAACTAGGAGGATGAAATACTGAAAATATTTTCTTTGGCATATTATTCTGCTATAGTAATAGCTTGAACATTTTTGTTTCAGACTGTTCCTCACTTAAGGGTATGGAATCGTACTTCATTTTGTTAGGAGCAAAAAATCTGGTAAAGCAGATTATTTAACTTCAGTGTGGTTGAAGCAATACTGATTAATTGATGACTGACAAGATTCTTTTATGCAAATCTGAAACAAAATTAAACAAAACCCAAATATTTTAACTCTGTAAAAAGTTCATCTTTATATGTGAATATCTTTTAGGGAATAGAGAGTATAAATGTTAATAATTAATTATTTAAGTGAGATTACTAATATACCTTGCAGTTCTTTTCAGCAATGACTCTCAGGTGAATATTTCTCAAGGGAGTGAGATCACCATGAGAGAGTTTATGATCTTTGCCCAGTTTGGGGCGATTTATTCTGATATTTAGCAAGAAAATTAATTAAGCACATGAAACTTTTATGCTGTATCAGAAGTTAGTCTTTGAACCCTTCAAGATTATCTCCACATTATAGTTACTTCATACTGGGCAGCAGCTTGCTTTGCTTGAAGCATGATGCTTTTATAATATGCCAGATCTACACACACAATTATTTATGCCTCACTTGAGTGCTTAGATGATGGATTTATAGCCATGGTAGTAGTATAATGCTAATTCTTTTAGACACTTCTCTGTCATGATTGTCTTTCTTTTAAAGGATATCAACCAGAAGCTGCAAGAAGATAACCAAGAACTGCGAGACCTCTGCTGCTTTCTGGATGATGACAGGCAGAAGGGCAAGAAAGTGTCCCGCGAATGGCAGAGACTGGGCAGATACAGCGCTAGTGTTATGCACAAAGAGGTTGCCTTATACTTACTGAAGCTGAAAGAACTGGAAGTGAGGCAGGAAGAAGTGGTTAAGGAAAACCTGGAGCTGAAAGAATTGTGTGTGTTGCTGGATGAGGAGAAAAGTGGTGGAGCCGGCAGCCGGAGCTCTATCGACAGCCAAATCAGCTTGTGCCAGTTGACCACGACGAGCACTTACATCCGAGATGTCGGTGACGGGAGTAGTACTTCTAGCACGGGAAGTACAGACAGTCCAGACCATCATAAACATCATCCAAGTACTAGTCCGGAACATCTTCAAAAAACTCGGGGTGAAGGAAGCCCTGAGCATCAGAAACACAGGAGTATCAGCCCAGAGCACCTCCAGAAGCCTAGGAGTTCTGGCAGTCCTGATCACCACCTGAAAGGACCAAGTCCGGAACATCACAAAACCATTGTCAAAGCACCTGAACAACAAAAGCACAGCAGCAGCAGCCCAGAAACTCTTCCAAAGCATGTTTTGAGTAGTAGCCCTGAACATTTTCAAAAGCAGAGGCCTGGTAGCAGCCCTGAGCATCAAAAGCACAGCAGTAGCAGCCCAGATCACCTTCAAAAGCACACGCCGAGTGGAAGTACAGAACATCTCCACAAAGTGAGGGGTACGAGCCCTGAGCATCTCAAACAACACTATGGAGGGAGCCCAGAGCATCTCAAACACCTCAGTGGAGGCAGCAGAGAAGGTACCCTCAGGAGACAAGTAACAGATGACCTGTCACCTCACCACAGAAGTATATACAATGGAATGAATGGTGGGTCAATACCTTTTGTGAAAACTCACTCTGAAAATTACTAAGGTAGTTTCAGTGATATTTCAATTATTTCTGGAAAAGGAATAATGTTTTATGTGAAATGAAAGGCAACAAGTCTGGTATCAGCATTATTCCTTTAGCAATTGAGTTAACCGGTGTATACCTGTCTGTCCATCCAGCAGATGTTGGGTGGATTAAAAAAGTAGAGGAAAAGTCTATCTTGAGTGTCAGGTATCAAGAAGTGGCTTGTGGCCTTGATCCTGCTCTGGGGTTGGTAGATGTAAGCTGTTTGTCACTGCGTAGATTTCTGTTTACGTCGGAGAGAAATTGCATATGTTGCTTGTCCTGACTCTGAGTCAGCAGAATGGAGGTGAATGTCTCCAATTTAATTTCCACTTTCCTAAGCTAACCTGTCTGTAGCTTTAACTATTTGAAAAATTCCTGTTTATTGATGGAAGGCTTCTTACTATATCCTTTTCCATAAGATTTGGAAAAGACTCCAAATGAACAGCTAGGCTCAATATAAATGACTTTGATAGCTCCTAATGCTTTTCAAAGCCTTGAGTTTGCATGTGTTTAATTATAACAAGTTAAACATTAAGGAAGATCTTAAGGGTGGGGTTTTTTTTGTGGTGTTATTGCTGCGTTTTAGAAAAATATCCAATAAACATACCTAGCTTTTAAGGGCTGTGTATCCTCACTGACTTAAGATAGTCTCAATTTAAGTATTTTGTAATATTTGAAAGACAAGTGGTTACAACAGTATTGAAATGAATGAAATACAGCTAATGAAATGATTAAAACCAAAGTTTGAACATCCTATTATGCTGTAGAAATAACATTTTATAGACTTAGCAGAATTTATGTAGTGTGTTTAATTTTGTTTCTTCTTGGTGCTTTGAGACATTTTCATGAAGAAAATTAGTGTCGTAGTTGAAAACTCATTTCTTAGACCTTAGCTCTTAGATTTGAAGTCAAGCTCTGTGGAAAGTGATGATTTTGCCTTAATAAATTGTGGTGGATGCAGTTCATGTATTTCCATTTTATAAGCAGCTGTGAGAAGTTGTGTTGACATCGGTGGAACTGACCACTTGTTGCTGGAGGAGACAGTGAGCTCAGTGCTGTCCTCGTCATTTCTCACATTGCTCTCTCACATTGGGCCATTTCCCCGCTGTGATTAACTTACAGAATGCCTTGAGATAAGATAGCTTGCTCTGTAGGGGCAAGTCCAGATTACTTTAAGTAAATGTGTATACTTGACAGGGCTGACAAACCCCGAAGTGGTAAGTTTAGAGACTTCTCTTTCTGATAATTTTAAAATGACTAATAAGATGAGTGTATGACAGCTGTGTGAAGATGCGTAATACATAAGTTATGAAAGTTGGTCTTATGAAACTTCCGTTAAATAATGTATTTCTTTCTCCATTCGCTTCTTTCTGTTTAAAAGTAACCTGGCTTTAGGTGGTGTGAAATATGGAACCAGACTTCCTAAAAGTGGCTTCTAATTTCCACTCGTGATGATCATCAATCCAGTCACTGGTTATGTAGAAAGGTGATCTAAGGTTTTAAGTATATGTTCTTAAAAACTCATGCAGAGACAAAGATCTTGGTGTTTTTCTGATATTTTTGGGGTTTTTGTGTTTTTTTGTGTCTTTTGTTAAGAACTCAGCTCTATTAACAATGCATTTTTTGTGTCCAAATAGTCTTGTTAAGAACTCAGCTCTATTAACAATGCAGTGAAAACAATTGTTATATTAAACCTGAGTTGACTGGCGTCCTTTGTGCTGAATATTTCGACTATTTACAATTTGGACTCTGGCCACAAGATGCTGGAGGGGGCAGCTGGTGATTTGGGAATCTGTTTATTGACTTTAATCAGAGCTTTGCCTGTCCTACACTTTGTATAAACACTTTTGCAGAGGACTTCTCTCACCAGTAAATTGTCAAACTTCTCTTCTTTCATATTTATATAACTTGATGCAAGCGTGAGGCTTAATTCTGACATTTGTCTGACCTTGGTCAGCAGTAAAACTCTTGACACCTTTGCTCTGGGGAAGGGGCCTTAAACTTCAGGGAAGTCTTCACAGCAAGGCATTTTGGGTTTTTGTGTTTTGATTTTGTCAGCTACTGTAAAGTTGTGGAGAAGAACATCTAATATGGAAGTGGTAAAACTGCTGACCATTATCACTCATTGTTGTGAAAGTAATGTGTAAATCTTAATTTGCATGTTCTGTGTATACCTGTATACGTGAACCTGCCAATGGAATATAGGTGGGGAACTCTGCAGTTAGCTGCAATGAAAATCCTGATATTTTGCCTCTGTTATAAGGAAGATGTGAAAACATGAGTTAGGAAGCAGCATGGAAACCTGGCCCTAAACTCTGATGAGCAATATGAAAGGATGCTATTTTTGGTTCTTATCCCAAAATCCCATAGTAAGTTTGCTATATCATGTTGGTGGAACTTATTTTGTTTTAAAATGTGGAGTATATCTAGCCAGTAGATGTTTGATTACACATCTGTGTGATTATTTTGCAGGGCACTTCTGCTGTTATGGCAGTACTTATAAGACTGTCATTTGAGCAGCAACAGTGGCGGGGTTTTGATCTTAAGTGATGAGTAGCAAAAACTAACATCTTTTGATGCATTTGTAAATAAAGGAATAAAATAATATATTTTAACTATGTAGGCAGAACTTGCCAGACTCAGTACAGGCCTGTGCCATCTTCTTTGGGCTTAACTGGACTCTGAATCAGGTCTGAGAGGAGAAGGTATTCCTCTGCATGTCAAACCTCGTTCTGAAGAGTACTATGCTGTCTACCTGAAATTGCAGTTCCTGATTGGAAAGCGTGTTTGCAAACGACCTAGCTATTGCTGTTGAAATGAGAGCTTCCATACGCTGCTGATGGCTCCATTTACCCTCAGTTCTGGTCTTGTTCGCTCATGCGTGCTCCCGGGGAAGCAATGTGTGCAAGTGGGGTGCAATTGTCTAGAGCGGAACTTGGACTGTATGTGAAGACATGAGGAATGGAGTTAGAGTATTTGCAGGTTTCTGACAAACTCTTAAGCTAAAGTTGAAGCAGTGGCAATATAAAATGCTATCGGAAATCTGATGTGTAGCTGTAGTCTGCTTTACAGGATATGGTATGTGCATTAATCATCTGGGCTTCATGCATATTTTAAGCTGTCATGAGGTTATGCGGGAAGTTACTTCAGTCTGAAGCTGCCTTTGGTCCACAGGCACAGCTGAAGGAATTACGGATGAGGTGATAACATTTCCTTTCATAATTCCTTTCATTTTCTATGCTCAAAGGTTTGAGCTTGGTATTTTTTCTTGTATGACATGTCAGCTTTCATTTATAAGGTTTATAAAGCTTAAAAAAAAATAAATTCAGAGTTCTCCGACGTTTTTCTGAAATGGGTGTCCTCGACCTGTGGAATGACAGAAAATGGGATGTGAGAGCTAAATTTGGCTTGATGCTTGTTAATTGGAAACATACGTATTCCATTGTAAAGGCTCTAACCAAATAAAACATGATAACGATCTTTTGCTGTGATCGCACCTAAATGTTCTGGGTAATGAGCACAGAAGTATTTGGGATAGAAAGATTGCTGCAATTAGAAGAGAAAATACCCATGGTAAAACATTTTAAAGAGAACATTTATGCAACCTAGAATAATACTTGACAGCTTAACTATGACACAAATATGTGGGGTATAAGTGCCTCTATACAAATTAATGTGCTTTCAGCATTTGCAATCTGGGGTGGTTTTTATTCTAAGCAATTTATTGTAAACTTTCTATTTTAAGAAGTCCTTTGTTTTACTCTGCGCTTTGACTTTTGTGTGAAAGGAAACTATCAGAAGGCTTTCATATGTGCTCTTTGCTTCCTGCTGAGGTTATGAAGAGAAGTAAAACTGCTGACTAGCACTATGTGTACTGCTGGAGGTGTGAGGGCTCTTACAGAACAAATGCAACAGCACCTCTCCTTGAGCCAAGGTGTTTGTAGGCTAAATGGAGACTCAGCTTAAATTTTAATCAGTTTCTGCTATAAATGTGCTTCTTATAAGGAAAATAAAACTCAGAAAATACTGTGCTGCGTAAAAAGAGGAAACTGCAGTATCAGTTTTTTAGAGAGAAAAAACACTAAAGTTACTGAGTTAACTGATACCCTCTCTGTGGAAATAGCTCGCATCCTGCTGCCAAAGAGTGAAAAGATGTCATGTTTTGATGTAGGTTTGCTTATGCGTTACATTTCTTGAAGTTGAATTAGCAATAATTTGCCTCTCATTAGTAGCAGTGTGCAGTACTTTTGTGTGTGACTGGAGCTTTCCTGATGGCACCCACCACTGTACATCTGCTGTTGGGAGCCTGATACAGCATGACTTACTCTTGAGAGTAACCTGTTCCTTAAACAAAGGCTACAGGATTGATAGAATTTTGTTGCTTGCCAGCATGAAGTGTTCTGCTATTTATTTTAGAAGTTTATTATTTTAAGCGTGGAGCTCTGAAACTTTGTCGGTGGGAATCTTTCTATTGAATTCCATGGGTTTTATGTCAGACTTGTAAATTAATTTTAGCTGTTACACACTGTAAGAGAACTGGGGCATGATACGTGAATATGTATGTGATTAGAGCATGCTGTATTTATTACCAAACTCATTTTTTTGTGGAGTAATTTACCAAGTTGAAAATGTGGCTTATAATATCAAAGCAATGAACCTACTAGAAACTCATGTTGTACGTCTTTTTGGGAGAACTTAATGTATCCTTAACTTAACTGACAAAACAAGTTTTGCTTTGAATATTTCAGTATGAGGTGGATCATTTTTCTAGCAAAACTATTGGTGTGTTAATGGAAAGATTGATGCCTCTACTTATAAAGAAACTTGGATGTTACTGAAAAGTTCAGTGGGTGATTAAAGTGGCAAACAGGTTGGTGCTGAGCACAGAGGCTTGCTTCTGACCCAGGCTATTTGATGTCAGGTAGACACTGGCA